GGGGGATTAAGACAACCGGAGGAATGTTCCTAATATTGAAAATATATGCCTTTCACATAGTTTCACAAATGAAACATTATGACATATTATTCTCCTTTAAAACCAAGCAGAGAAAACTAAGTTCTCTACAATTCAAGATGACATTTTTTTCTTTCTTGTTTTCATAGCAAGGACATTTTAATGATACAACAGCAATGGCCAACACTCATCTAAGTGCCTAGGATGCAACAGACATTATTCTAAGTAATGTGCATGTGTGCATTAATTTCAACAATACCCCGCCCCTGCCGGCAGCCTCTCCCCCTCCAGCGGAGCAGGGGGCTTTGGCGGCTCACGGGTTGCCTGACTGACAACTGAGGCCGGCCGGGTCCCTGGGGGCCTGACTTCCACTTGACGAACTCCTCGCTCCGTGAGGGGCTCCCAGTGCTCCCCAACGCAGTTCAGCCCTCCGCAGTCTTGATTCTCTCCACGTCTCCCGCGCTCTGCTTCCCTCCCACCACCGTCGCCACATCCTTCTCCACCCCATCCCTTCCCACCGCCTTGAACCTCCTCCTAGTCCGCTAACCTCTGCAACTTTTGTTGGCAGCAGTTCCCAGTACCGCGCTACACGCCACGCCCCCATTTGTCTAGAGCAAACTGAATTCCTCCGCAGCAGCCTTGACTTCCACCTACTCTACTGTCCGCCGCTAGCCCTGGAGCGAAGCTCTTTCTCCCCCATCAGTTGTCTTGTGTTTACTTGTTTGTTTCCTTTTGATTTTTTCACTTCGATTTGTTTAGGATGATCAGAGTCCCCCAGGGCCTAGAAAGGAACAACCCTCTTAGGGAGCTAATAAATCAAAGGCAGACATTTAAGTTTAAAAAATAAATCCAGCTCTTAGTCCAAGTCCCTATGCCCGGTTTTTGATGTAGTGTCTTTTTCCTTAATGTTTGCACGTGTTTGTGTGTGTGCGCGCGCGCCCTCGCCAAGGGGTTAAACGTCCTTTCATAAACATCGGTTTCCTCTTTCTCTTGCCTCGCCTGACCCTATATCCTCTTCATGCACTCCCCGGAGAGCAGGTCAGGGAGGGATACAAACCTCCTTGCTGTTTAATGGAGGGAGGTGGCCCGTGGAAACTGCATGAGGTGGTTTTTTGTTCCAGTCCTATTTGTTCTTTTATTTCTTGCCTCCACGGGACGCCACACGATGTGGGCGGTAGCCTGGCAGCTTGATACCAACTCCTGTAAGTTGTGGAGGCAACTTTCTGGGCCTACAATGGGTGCTAACAAGGGCCCGCAGTTGGTGCAACATCCATGTGGCAGGAAGCTTGCTAGGAATTCCTGCGCCTGGTGCAGTCTTCCACGCGCCTGCCTCCCTGCACTCTACTTGACTGTGTAAGTGAAAGTCAGGAAGTCCTTTTTCAGCTTCCAAGGGGACCTGTTGGTTCTAACTTTGTGTTTGCAGGAAACCATGAATTTGTGTCCTGCTAGATAAATACTCGCTGCGGGATATGGTTTTATGTTTATGAACTACCGTTCCCAACTGATTCTACAACCAGTGAAGAGCTTTTTAGCTTCTGAAGCCATAAAGCCCTGGACTTTTATAAGGATGAACAGCAAATCCTGCCAAGCTTTAATGTCCCTTTGTGTCCTAAAATTGGATATTGACAAACCAGTTGAAGTTTAATACTAACTTAGGCTTTAATATATTTTAGAACTTTTCTATAAGTATTTCAGCCAGATTTGCCAAAAGAAAACAACACAAAGACCATTTTAAAGTTGTTCTGAAAGCATGCAATCCCATGTATGCTTACCAACGTGCCTCGGTTTCCTCAACTGCAAAATGTTGGCTCCCAAGTTTCCTTGTATCTCCAGCATGATATACTATCACTTGTTTGTTCCTCCATGTTCCTAGCACAGGCATTTTCTTTATGTGGGTATTAAAGACACACTGTGTAGGAGATATGGGTTTTTCCAGCACTCACACAATATCTAGGGCAGTTCTGCACATCAGAAGTAAAAGGTGAGTCACCAATACAAACTACATCAGTAACTTTAAATTTCTAGTAAATTTTGGTACCTTAAGGAAAGATAAAAAGAAATAGTTAACATGAATTTCTCATAATATATTCCATACATTAAACATGTGATTTTAACATGTAGTCAGTGTAAAAATGAGTTCTTTGTGCCCTTGGTATGGTCTATCATACCAAGTCCTTGGAATCCAGTGTGCATCTGACACTTCTAGCACATCTCAGCTGGGACTAGCTGCATCTTAAATGCTCAATGCCCACGTATGACCGTGGCTACCATAAGAGACAGCACAATTGGGGATGTTGTTTTGGTGGGAAGGATATATCTGCCAGGGTCTCAGCAGGGATCAGATAGTACATTCAAATTAGATTAATTCATGGAGGATTAATTTACAAAAGATCTGTGTATAAAAAAGTAGGAAAGACAAAAGCTGGGTATTGTACCATAACCCTAAGCTTGTAGCATTGAATTTGCCACCACCCTTGCCTCTGAAGGGATGAGGAAAGGGAGAGGTTATCAAAACTTAGAAGGAAAAGGTCATATACAAGGGGCCTTTGAGAGAAGCAATAAGCTTTAGTGGTGAGACAGGCTGCCCAAGGCAACCTCCTCCATCTTAGGGAAGGAACCAAGGAAAGAAATGCTCTTGACAAGACAATAAGGGATAGGTATGTGGTGCTTTGTCTAATCATAGTAAAAATCAAGAAGAGGGATTAAAGTCTCCTAATAACATTAGATTAGTCATATGACACAACCTTTTAGAAAATGTTTTATTCTATTCATTCAGATGAATTTGTTAGAATGGAAACACATTGGAGCTGATTATTATCATGATACTTTGAAGGAGAAAAATGTCTACCAAAATACCAACAGTAGACATTGTTGTGCAGTTTCTCCGTGTTATTCCCTTTCTCTTTGTTATTTCATGTGTGTATGAAAGAAAATTTATTAGGGGAATTGACTCATGCAATTATGGAGGCTGAGAAGTCTCATTACAAGCTATCTGCAAGGTGGAGATGCTGATGTGGCTCAGTACAAGCTTAAAGGCCCAGGAAGCCAGTCATGTGAGGCCTGAGAACCAGGGTTCCACTGGTGTAAGTTGCGGAGTCCAAAAGCTGGAGAGCCTGGAGGTCTGATATCCAAGGATAGGAGAAGAAAAGTGTAGCCCAGCTCCAGGAGATGGATTGAGACTCATTAGCCTTTGCTCTGTTTTTGTTCTATCTGGGTCCCCAGCCGACTGAATGGTGCCTGCCCACACAGACAGTAGATCTTCCCCATCTAGTCCACTCACACTCACACATTAATTTTTTTCTGGGAACACCTCCACAGACACATCCAAAATAATATTTCCCTAGGCATTCCTTAACCCAGTCAAGTTGACATCCAAAATGAACCATCACAATATGTTAATGCATATTTAACCATTGCTCATTAGTATACCTGGGACATCCAAAGAGAGCTGAGCCTGAGCACACCACATAGAAAGACCAAGAAACTAGAGAAAACATTGGATGCTGTAGACAGCTTGCATTTCAGTGGGAAAGAAGTCTATGATCGGCCTGGAGAAGGTACTGTTGGGGGCTAGAAGAAGCAGGAAAATCAGAAAAGAGAGGAAACCAGGAACCAGATCCCGAGGACATTGTACAATTTTCTTGAGAGTCTACACTATTGTGGGACATCTGTGGAGACTGACAAGACCACACTCCTTTTTTAGAAAGCTGTCTCCTTAAAAGCAATAAGGTTCTGCCTTGGAAAAGCTTTCAGGTTTGTCTTGCTATCACATTAGCTGGTCTTGTACTCAGTGGTGAGATAGGTGAGGTCTGTGTTCAGTGATTTTCAGCTTCCCTCCCTGTTCCCTTCTCTCCTTTGTGCGATGCCCACTCTTGTGATTCCACCCATGCCCTCCAAGGCATCCAAGTTGCAATTCCTTCCCAATCCTAGATCTCATAAGCTCATTACTCTACTGTACATGAGTTGCTTATCTTCTTTATACTCTAACACAAAGGATTAACTTTTTTTTTTTTTGAGTTGGAATCTCACTCTGTCATCCAGACTGGAGTGCAGTGGCCACTACCGGCCACTGCGGCCTCGACCCACTGGGCTGCAACAATCCTTCCGCCTCAGTCTTCCAAGTAGCTAGAACTACAGGCGCGTGCTACCATGCCCAGCTAATATTTTTTGGGGGGATTTATTATAGAGATGAGGTCGCGCAAGTTGCCCAGGTGGGTCTCGAACCCACGGACTCAGGCAATTCACTCACCTCAACCTCCCAAAGCACGGGATTACAGGCTGAGCCACCAAGCCCGGCAGGATTAACATTTTTAAGTAAGCAATATTATAAAAATTGACTTCCTCCTACCTCCCACATACAAATAATCCACGCTCATTTAAAAAAATTAATATATAATGGCATATAAAGAATAAAACAAATCTCACCCCAAATTTTATTTCCTTGCTCAGAGATAATCATAATTAATATACTGATTAGTTTCCTTTAGGTGGGTGCTTAAAAAAAAGACTAAGGCTTTCTAGCAGAAT